TATAGCCTCAAAAAGTAAACATAATCTTACCTTGTTTTCGTTTGGTGAAGATGCAGCTCTTGATTTATTATCATATGTGTTTTATACTATTTTATTATGCACGTAGTTTTAATATTTTATCCAAATTATGTAGATATTTGTGATTTTGAGCAGGCCCTGATGAGATACCTCAAACTTTCGGCACTTTATTAAAAAATATCAATAATAACATTTGTTAAGATCAAGGCCGTGATGAAGGTTTTTCTTATTTTTATTTTTACGTAAAAGTAAAAAGTAAGAAACAATCTTCAATGGTCTTGATCTTGACAAATGTTATTAAGGTCATGAACCTGAACAACATTATAATGCTAATGCTGCGCGGCGGTACCTGAATTTTACGCTGAAAATCTACCAAAGGATTTCGAATTTCGCTCTAAAATTTTAGGAATATATTCTCAAAGAGTTGTACTATCGATGTATGAAAAAAAAATCGATTTTTTTTATCCTGTAAATCAAGCGCTCCCCTTAATTTGAAATTAAGCTTTTTGCAAAGTTTCATCGAAATCGAAGAAGCGATTTCCGAAACTCTACCCCATCTCATTGTTCTATACTTATAAAAAGCTTGTTAAAATACAATTATCAAAACATTAATATTTTACAAGATACTTTTCATATTTTATATCAATATGTGCCAGAATTAAGTATATTCGAAAACTATTGATTTTTCGTCATCTCTACCTCAATACTTTTATATATTATATATGCAAATTAGAGAAATCGTATTACGTAGAAAAAAGTCATAATTTCATTAAAATAGTGATAAACTTCATAAGATCTTAAAAATTTGATTTTTTTCCGAAAATTAATTTGCACTTCTTTTAAATCATATCTCTTTTGTCTGAAACATTTTTATATAAAACTGAAAATAAAACTAGAAAGAAAGAAAATTTTAAGAGGTCAATTGATTAAAACGGGACATCCTGTATATATACATACATATATAAGGAGAATCAGATGCGTGTGTATGACGTATGTGATGTAGCGTGTGATATATGAGATATATCGCATATTAAAATCTTCCCTGGTATTCATTCCTGTACGCATTACACGATACATTTCTATATACATACGAATGCGAAAAAAAATTACATTATACGCACGCCTAAATATATTGTAAATATTAATGTCTCGATCGTATCCAACATCGCGTCTGCTCGAATGGATCGAGGATTGAGCGATTCAGCGATATTAACATTTGCAATCTATTTTGCCGGACTTGATACAAGTGCGACATTAATCCTTTAACAAATAAAATAAAGACTCGTAACCGCATATATAGAATTGAATGACTTTCATTTTCCATTTAGTTTAATTGTAGAATGTCTTTTCATAAATTCCAGAACATATGTGTAGCTAAAGTGTAGTATAAAAATTATTATAATTATTTACTATAACAAATAAATTATAATGATATTAGATACAGCAGAAAGGTATCACGTACTTCAAATAATATAAGATTATGTAGTAATAGTAATTAATAATTAATATTAATAATTTAATAACAAAATGAAAAATTCATGCTGTTTTGGACAGCAATTAATGATACAAAAGAATATTCTTATTAATAAATTTACTAATAGAAATATTCTTTTACGCTATTAATTGCTTTATTAATTACTTTATACTATTTATAACACAAAGCTGTATAGCTGTACGTAGAATATAACTTCTTATTTAATATAATTCTACATTTATATTAAAATATAAACGTTTACATATAACAATAAAAAAACTAAATCAGATATACGTATGTGTAGTAAAAATTAATATCAACTTAAAATATATGCTTAGAAATAACAGTTGTATAGATGATAGGAGCCATGCAAAGAGTTTCTAGGACCTTAATGCAAAGATAAAGATGGGCTGCTACCTTAAATTTATTTATATATGTATTGAAAAAGCTTTGAGAAGTTTAAAAATTATAACAAAACACTGTGTAATTACATTTATCTATAAATGTGTAATTTAAAAATAGGATTTAATTAAATTATGCAAAACATATAAAATGTAAATATACAATTGTGTACATATATATATTTATAATTTATAAACAGAACTCTATAAATAGAATTTTATAATTTTATAAATCAAAAACTTTTTTGTATCCAACTATTAAGGAATCATAATTCTAATTATTGATAAAGAATTAAAATAGTCTTTAGATATTTCATTTTTATTTGATAGCATTGCACAAGCATTTGTCACAATGTAGATTGTAAATGTAATTTTATCAATTGTAATTTATTAAAAATTAATTTTCTTTCTGTAAATGTCACGCAGGTAGAGTAAAATATATTCAAAAAGCTATAATTATATTTGGGAATATTTCTTCCAAATTGTCTTTGTTATATAAAGTAATAAGTTTTTGCGAGTGCTAATACCATTTATATTTAGCATTAAATATTTTAAATAAGTAATTTCCAAGCAAATATCTATTGAGACGTCATTTTAATGTAAAAAGCTTATGAAAAAAAGGAAAAAGAAATGTTTGTTATAATATGCATTGTATAAATTATTTTTTATTTTTTTAAGTCTTTCTCCACAACCGTCAATTTTAAAATAAGTTCTTACATAAATTTTTCACACAATCAAAAAATGCCTCTAACAGATGTAAATGTTTTAAAAAGAGATAGAAATGGATATTTTAAAAATTCTAGATTTATATAAAAAAGCAATTGTTTTATATTGTTATGTCCAAGCTCCAGGATTCTTTATTTCGGAGGAGAGTATAAGGTAAGGAGGAAATCTACAAAAAGACGTAACTGAAATCCTTCTCGTGGTTAACAATTTTAGGCGCGTGCCACAAGTCGAATGCATTTATGTAAGGATTCACACTTCATAAGTCAATATATGGGACTTTATGACACCTTGACATCGTCTGAGTCAGCGCATTCTGAGTCAGCGTCGGTCCTTAATTTAATTGTAGGCCAAGGAGGTGACTCCCCTTAATTTAGAAACGTACTTATCGTGCGATCCTAATGAACGCTAGGAATGGGTGACAGAGGAAATATAAATTAATTATTGATGATTTTTGACCAATCAAGCTCATTTTATTTTTTCTCAATTAACATTTAAAATTTTATTCTACAAAATTTATTATATATTTTAAGTTGAGTATCGGCTGTAAATATTAGTTGTATGTACTCTTATAAATTGAAATTACATGAAGTACAAAAAAAAAAGCTGGATGTAGAGTTTTTTCTTCATTATAATCCACTTAACCATTTTAGTCACTTCCAATCATATCTTATGAAATACTTGGTTAGTTGCATTTATTTTGTATCCGTTTTTTTTTTTTTTTCCCCAATAAAAGGCGCATTTTTCAAGAACTTCTACCAATTTTTTAGTATTAAAAATTAAAATCTTTAAAAAGTCACTGCATTTCCATGTTCTACAATATTTAATGTTCAGTAATTTTTGTGATTTTTAAGAACAAATTAAAAACTGTAAATACGGCAATCAATTAAAAGGGTTGGAGTCAAGTGTATTGCCTCCTGTGTGACCGATATAAAATTCTCAGGAAATGTGATCACGAAGGGTTAAAATAATCTTGCTAATCTCTTTGATCTATTGTATATTATATGAGTGTATGTTTCATGTATAATGTTATGTCGCGAAAATGAAAAGGTTTAGCGGAAGCAGCTGAAAACATGTATATACAACTTACCAATAAGAGAATTGCATCATCTTCATATTCTTTTGAAATTCTCTTCTTAAAAGAATCCGGAGAAGTCGGATCATGAAGGAGACGAAACTTCTATGACTCATAATCTCGACATAATATTTAAATAGATATACAAGCTTGAAATAAACTGTTGGGGCTAAGTTAATTATGATCCGTACAAAAATAATTTTTTATTTGTTACTTCTTCAGTTTACATTCATATTATTCGTTTCTCTCTTTATCAAAACTTGATAATAAAATCGTTCTATGTAGACCATAATAATTCATTCGCCGGTGCTTTACCCGCTAATATATCTCATTTCCGAAAAAGTATACTTTTTCTACTTTATTTACAGATAATTCGTTATGTAAAAAAATACAATCTTTCGTTTCTTTTTTTGTACTGACTAGTTAGAATAACATTTCTCATACGCTCGAGATTGTACGCTTAAGGGAATGTAAGACGAAAAAAAGGAGAAAAACAAAGACATGTGTATCAGCTAATTGTCGCGTACTATCCTTTATAAATACGCACATTATTTGTGTATGCATGTCTTATATACGAGATACAAATGTTCGTTCAAATATTAAATATAAAAAAAATCATGTGTCTGTGTGTGTGTGTGTGTATGAATGCCTATCACAACACTTTGGTCGCCTCATCATATTTAAATGACAGATGAGTTTCCGCAAGAGGCTCGTCACCCAACAGGTTTCGCTCCCGATTGGAAATGGCTTTGTTAGATATTTACAAGGATATCGATTAGAAACAACAAAGAGTATTATTTGTATAGTATAACGTAAGCCTATCAATATGGAAGAAGGAAGAAGGAGATAGATTTGCCTTTATTGGGTTATTTTAACAAGGATTCGCTACGGTTTACAGTTGTGCAATTCTCGACTTTGACGGAGGCTCATGCGCGAAATTATAGCTCGCTAATCGAAGTGTCAACGTCACAAACTCTACATGCATCGATTTATCTCATCAACCACTATCTTTATCTTTTAGGAAATCAGGTCGTATATACATAAATCGTCGAAGGTCATATACACGGAAAATGTCAAAGCGAAATTGCACCGCAAGCGATTTTTACGCGCATAAATATTATGCGAATCTATACATTCGAGTAAGCTTAGCCGGCACGTCTCAATTATAAATCACATAATTAAAAAATATTTAAATTATTCGAATGACTGTCGAATCCTTTCAATTATACTTCCAAACTCTTCGTACAAAATACAAACAATTTTTATAGAAAAACTTTGCTTAATTTATTTAACTATAACTGTATAGTAAAAGTAATTAATTAAAATTATCTGGATGACTGTCAGATCTTTTCAATCACACTTCAAAAGTCTTCATAGAAAAGTTATCAGTGAAGTTGGGATTGTTAAGTTCATATTACTTTTAATTTTACTCGTCGGCGAAGTGTAAACAAGATCTTACAATAAAGGAGATGGGGGATAGGGGAAACGACACGGTGGGCACCAACACAGTTCTCATTGAGGAAAAACGCGTTAAAAAATAAAAATTTCTAAATTAAATCTGATACTAATGGAATGCGTTTAATAATGGATTGGATATAATAACGGCGCGTTTTCTTACAAATATTGTTTGTCGACAATTGCCTTCCTGTTCCTCTGTAAAAAAAAAAACAAAAATATCAGCTAACATGAACGTTCGATAAGCCATGGAGATTAAAATTTTTATAAGAATCGAAATAATAACGTATAAGCTCTACGCTACTACTTTCGAAATCGTACGTGTTGCCATTATATAATATACGTTGTTCTTTTCTCTCTTCCAGCTCTTTTTTTCCTTTTGTCGAAATTCGGAAGACTATCTCGTTCGCCGCGAAATCTTCGTCGTCGGCGATTTATTCGCTCCACAAACGCGGAAACTCAAACAGACTCGCCGAATTTCAACAAAATCACAATTGCGCTTTGTTCCTAAGTCGAGTATGCAGAACGGAGATCAGAGACATTTTGGTGAATAAGAAAAGATGAACGCGTATGATGTGTGATCATACTGCGACATTGAATGGACTAATGGATGGATGTATGGATGGTGGCCAGGTCATGAAATGAAGAACAACAGAATGCATTTAATGAGCGATTGTTTATTATGCTCTTATTATGGTCACTTGTCATACAGGTAACGATGCTTCTCAATGAGTGAAAATAGTTAATATTATATTTGCTTTTCTCTCTCTTTTTACTCTTTTATATAATTATTCAACATTGAATGGAATAAATTGATGATGAAAGAGAATAACAATTTATGGATGCAAATAAATGTGGTTAGAGTGTAAAGTAATAATATTAAGATTAGCCCTTCAAAAGAAAAAAAAATGTCTGTGAACTAAATTATACTTCATTGATAACAATAGTGGTGCCCAAAAATAGTCTTAGGACAGCAAACAATTGATAAACTTCATCGACGAGCGAAAGTGCAAAAGTAAAACGCGTATCATCGCTCCCTTTTTCTTTTTCTGAGTTTTGATCAACAAATAGAGGATTCTCTCTATTGAAGTCTTTACGAACCGTACGAATATGCGTACCCTGATAATGTCGCGCTCTTATCTGCTCACTGACAAGATCGTATCCTTCTCTCGTTTTTGCTCTCTTTTGCTCATCAATCCCTCACACATGATTTCGTTTGCCGAGCAATACTTTTCCGTCCGTGGTATCGTCGAGTATCATCTAATTGAAAGGTACCGTCGCTCTTCCAAATTTGGAAATTCAATTTCGCGCCCGAATTTTTCTGCGCCGAATGACAGTTCTCACGTAGAACAAATACTCCGATACTCAGTAAAACGGTGCCAAGAGAGTCACAACTGACTCCGTTAATAAATATTAACATTTCACCGATAGATTCCGCGTCGACTATTTTTATTATGATAAATAGGGGAAAAAAATGCGTCAGCTCTCGTGACTTTTGACATTACATCTTTCTTATTCTGATGATACTCGCGAAACATCGTGTAGTCCACATTTGAGAACTGTCGAATAATTTTTTAAATTTGTGACAACGGATTAGAAAAGATTGCGCGAAGGTAAAATGACCGTGACGTTTTCAGTATCTTCGTACTTTTCTGATTTGCAAGATTACTATTAGTCATAACAGAACAAACATCAACGATACCACAGACTTTCTCTCATTTTGCCTTCGATATCGACGAATTACAATCTTTCACCATTCCTGAATCTCTAGTTACTCATCTAAAGTGTTTCCGTACCTTCCGTAGAGTTACGACTAATTTTTACTACTTAAAACTTATCGTAAATATCGATAATTCTTAGCTTTTTCTTAGCTGAATCGCAATATCCTTCCTCTCTCCATCTTCCGTTTTCTCCACTCTCTCTTCGCGGAGAGACGAGAGACATCTCGAAATATTAAAAAATATGCAATTTTGCCCATTGCTCATAATGCACCGCCATTTCATTTTCGTGTTGTGTCGATAAGAAAAAAGGAAAAAAAAAGATAAGTCGAGCCGTCTCTATCGTAGTGTACACAATTGCGGGATAAAATGTGTGATGAGTGACAATGAATTTTCTGTCTAATCGTGTGCGGTATAATTCGAACTAAAAACGGTAAAACCCAGGATGAGAAAAACGCGCTGCTGTGTGTATGCGTGTATATATGTGTTTGTGTGTGTATGTCCTTAAATTATTTTATAGCCGAAGGAATGTAATTAAGGTACAATACTTGGATCATGATTTCATCATCGGTGCGAGACGAATAAAATCCCTCTATAGTACCTTCGCAGCCAGCTGCTCTCTCTCTTTCTTTTTCGCCTTCATATATTTCGATTTTATGTATAATATATATTTTATATATATATATATTATATATATATTATATTATGGAAGATAACGCTATTCTCTCTCTCTCTCCCTCTCTCTAATTTATTTATTCTCTCTCTCCCTCCCTCCCGCCTTCTCTCTAATAATTCACCGAACACGTTATATATAATTGCAACGCACGAGAAGATTTCATCATCGTAAAAGTAAAACGCAAACGCGCGTTTTCTCTCTCTGTCTTTCTGTCGGTCTGCAAAATTGTCTATTTGCGTGTAAGCATGCACTTTTGACATTATACAATGTGTATGAGTATATTGTGTGTGCGCCCGCGCGCATGAATGAATTGTAGGATGAAAGCACACGCGCATTCACGTGCACTTGCGATCTATAGCAATATACGACTACTTATACTCAACAAGGTACTTAATAGTCTCCTCTTTCTCCCCGTTCCCCTCTTTCTCTCTTGCTACTTAATATTATTTAATTGTTTTTCTTCAATTCTCCATTTTAATCCCCGAGCTGCTATGTGCTACCTCAACAACGATCTCACATCCGAAAGTCTCTTAAATCTTTCTTTTCTTGATTTTTTCTCCTTTTTTTACATTATGCTTACCCAAAAATAATATACCATATTAACAATCTAGCTCTATCAATATTCTCACTTCCGACAAAATAACATTACATATAATTTTGTACAACCCTTTTAATTATCTCGTAACGAACACGTTCCATATCGCGGACATTGTAACGTCGTTTCGTTACGTTTTCGATACATAATTTATATATATATATATATAACTTTATTTCATCCTCTTTTTATATTTCTTAGTTGAAGATGGACTTAACGTGTTATTTCATGAGAATGTCGCTGACATTTAGGAAAATGAAGATCGTGATATGAGGAATATTTCAAGTCGTGTTTAATCGAATGATTTTCGAATGCCTATGATCTCCGATAATCTTTATGTATACTTTCATACTATGTAAATAACTTCACGTCCGCTATTGTCGATCAATGTGATAATTTTTTCTTTTTTTCAAACGTTCTCTATAGCGATATCTTAGTGACTTATTGTTAGTGTAACATGTCTTTTGGCGTAATATATATATGTATATATATATATATACACAACATTTTATATTAATTTCCTTGGCTATTGGCAAATATTCTACCTCTATCATTTAAACATTTGATTATAGCGAACGCTTGCAAAAAAAGTGGCAGTAAACTAACAATTAGAGAAAACTCTTTATAGAGACAAATGCAACATTTTTTTTAACACAACAATTAATTGTAATATATCTCGGACAGTTTACTAGTTTATGCCTGTGTTTCCTTTTTTATTTTCACCTGTTATTAGTCAATCGATATATAGACGCTCGATCCATCGATACAGACATCCTTAATACAACTCTTTCTTTGCCAGTAACTTTTAAAATAATTGCGCTTTTGGTTAAATTTCCCTACTCTCGAAGTAAAACTTATGCAGTCGATCTTTCTCTTTCCATTTTCCTTCGGCAGCAATCGTAATAATTAATTTCGAACTAATTCACCAAATTGCTGTGCACGTATGTATCAATTAGACGCTGTTGCATTTTTAACTTTAGTTATTGATGCCGATCGAATATAGGATAAGCTGAAACAGAACATATGGCTATATAAAACTATGAAACGTGAACGTGTAACGCGACAATATTGGAATCAAAGTATTCATTGAATAACATCTCTCTCAATTTGCAGCAGTCAGTGTATATAATGGAGGATGAGTTGTTACTATCCTTTCTGTATTAACTCTTTTCTTATCTGCTTTTTTCTTTTCTACGATATTCTTGGACGCTATAAGAATCCCTACTTTTCGATATACCGCAAACTAAGAGCAGGTATAATAAAGTATCTCATAATGTTCCATAACGACGTTATTTATGTATATTAATATGAAATGAATGATATAGTCCGTCTTTTATTAAAAACGGCCTGCATGCGTCGCACAGGATATACACATCTTTAACAACACGTTCTACAGTTAAACGTTAACAAGTGTAATGGCTAAGGAAGGGAGATGATAAGGAAAGGAGATGGATAATGTAGAATAGGGAGGGTTCGATATGGCACTAAAGGGTGTGGAGTGCGGATGACAGAAGATCCTTCCTTTGTTTTTTTTTACCCTTAGCATAAAACGCGATTCCGAATGCCATCGTTCTGCATTTTTTTTTGCGTTTTTTCTCCATTTGATTCCTCTCGCGTTTTTCTCTTCCTTCTTCACACACACACACACACACACACACACACACACACTCTCGCTCTCTCTTTTTCTCTCGTCTCGCATCCGGTTTGATGGAGTTTAATGCGAAGTGAAGCAATGAAAGTACGATGGAACATGATTTTTTTTTTTACGATGTAACCTAACACACACAGCCAAGTAACGTGACACGCAAGTCACCCTCCGCGCAGTGACGAGTGTCAAATTCAGTTAATATAGTTACCGTAATAATAGTCATAATTAGAATTGAGGCGAGTCAATGCAATTCCTACATCCCTGATTACTACGCTACACCACCACATTTTCTTTTGTGTGTGTGTGTGTGTGTGTGTGTGTGTGTGTTTGTATGTGTGTAGATATATATATATATTTCTTTTATAAGAGTTATAATTTAACATTCTCCTCCCTTAATTCGTTCCGTGTATTCTCGTGTGCATGTGTGCGAGCGTACTTGTGTGTATACAGATACATAATTATTTTCCTCTTTTCTTTTTTTTTGTCTTGGATAGAGTCGGTAATTTATTGTTAGTTTAACTTGTTCTGCAATGACATAATTCCGTAAGAAATTTAAGAAAC